AATCTAATTTTATAGAAAAAAGAGTTTTCTTTCCACAGCAACATTCAGACCCGGTGAAGTGGCACTGGAGCTGCCTGGGGGCTGGGCTCGGGCCTGGGGGCTCAGGCCTGGGGGCTGGGCTCGGGCCAGGGGCAGGGAGCCGGCTGTGCCCCCCCCCCCCCCAGGCTGCAGTCAGGTGACAGGCCAGGTGCTTAAACAAGCACAGAGGGGCTGAGTCATTGCAGTAAAGAGAGGTTTGTGGTCCTGGCCGGTTTGGCTCAGTGGTTAGAGAGGCGACCTGCGGTCCAGAGAGACCTGGGTTCGGTTCCCGCTAAGGGCACGTACCTCAGTTGCAGTTTGTCCCCGGCCCCGGTTGGGTTGTGCGGGTGGCAACTACTCGATGTGTCCATTTCACATCGATGTTTCTCCCTCCCACTCTATCTGAACAAAATAGCAAAAAAATATCCTCGAGTGAGGAAAAAAAAAAAGAGAGGTTTGTGGAATTACGTTTCCATATCTGCAGGGAGGATGGGGTGACCTCCTGGCTCTGGGCCACGAGAAACCCAGAGGTTGGCAGAGGGCTGGGCTCTGGAGGAAGGATTAAAATTCTTCTAAGGGCACGTGCCTTGGTTGCAGTTTGTCCCCGGCCCCGGTTGGGGTCGTGTGGGTGGCAACCGCTCGATGTGTCTCTCTGACATCCATGTTTCTCTCTCTCTCTTCCTTCCTCTCTACCTCTTGCTCTATCTGAAGATAAATGCAAAAGTGTCCTCAGGTGAGGGTGAAAAAAAAAAATAATAAATAAAAAAATCTACAGCAACAGGAAACAAGGTGGCGGATCGACACAGGCGCCCCCGGGGCCCACCGTGAGGGTGGGCAGTGCTGAGACTGGGGGCGGGCTGCGGACACCCAGGGACTACAGCTGGCTTCCGGTGGGGGGGCAGCGAAGGCAGAAGGGAGGGAGGAGCCCAGCCCCCGACACCGGGCCGCGGAGCCTGCACTGGGGGGTGAGCACGTCCCTCTCCGTCCGGACCTCAGTGACAGGACGCGGTGGCCCATGCAGAGGCTGGGCAGCTAAGTGGGAAATGAAGCAGGAGGAGGGCTTCTTCTAGCCCCAGGCCCCCGAGACTGGACCCACGAGATGCATCTGTTGTCAGTCTGATGCCGAGCCCCAGGCCATCCGCACACAGTGTCCCTGTGAATACTCCCGAAGGGAGGTTTGAACGATGGCCCAACGCTGCACCTTCAGGCAGGACCACACGTCCAGGAGGATGAGAATAATCTACCTGTATCATAGATTTTTTCATAAATTATAGAACCGCATGTCTGAATTTTAACTCAGCAAGGTTGAAGCATTCCCCGAGATCTAATATACAAAGCCATAGATCTAATTCTCTTGAAGTTCCTTTAGAATTTATTTCCCAGCTCAATATATTTAGCGTCTATATTTTTGCTTAGGTTGGCAGATGCGAGGTTTTAATATTTCTGCTTGCCGGCGGAGGAAATGAGACGTTGAGGAATGGAGAGACTCTGCCAAGTGCACGCGGAAAACCATTGCTCACGTCAAGGATTACGGCTCTCAGTTCCGGCCTGGGACTCCCTCTACCCTGTCATAGGGTGTTTGCCTGACCTGGAGAAAGTCGTATGATAGGCATGTGTTGAAACTGCTTAGATAAGACTGGTAGATGTGAGAGTCAACAACGGTAGCACAGCTCCTAAAGGGGGCTGGGAGAGGAGGCAGGAGGCAGCAGGGAGCCTGGAGAGTGTGTGTGTGTGTGTGTGTGTGTGTGTGTGCGCGCACGCACAGGAGCTATTGCTGCTTCAAGCAATGATTCTCAGACCCATGTGGAAAGTTTTAAAGACCCTGCAGTTACCATCCTTGTTCCTTGGGGTCCTGAGACGAGGTCCAGGGAGTCTTTGGGACCCTTGGTCTGATGGCTGGCCATGTTGGGGCACCACTGCCCCAGGGGAATGAGTGGGCTGGGAGCTGTGGTCGAGGGCCCGCCTGCGGGGACGTGATGGGGGGGGGCCCTCAGTGCCATCGAGCATTGTGGAGCCACGTGACCTGGGGCACTGATTTCCCAGGCGCAGATTGGTGTACCCTCTGTGGCCACACTCAGCACGTGCTTCGTGGTCTAAAACTAACACAACTCGACACTCACAAGATAAAGATGTCCCGGAGAAACTACTGGGTTAGATCGAATGCCACGTGCAAAACTTGATCAAATTCCCCTTCAGGTTCCGCTGTTCTCTCCCCGAAAGTCTCCTCCAAGTGCTGCCATGCACCCCGTACTGGGCTGCGTGGGCTGCGTGCCGACGGCCCGGGCGGGGGCTCGAGGCAGCAGGGATGTACTTTCCCACAGTCCTAGAGGCTGGAAGCGGGGAGTCTGAGATCGGGGCTGACTTCTCCCTGTGCCTTCTCACGGCTTTCCCTCTGCAATGGATCCGTGTCTAGATTTTCTCTTCTTGTAGGGACACAAGGCCTAGGGCTTCGGGTCCAACCATAAGACCTCATTTTACCTTAATTACCTCTCTCAAGACCCTGTCTCCTCATACAGTCACATTCCGAGTCCCGGGGATTCGAACCTGCTGTACTTCAGCCATACTGTGGGTTTGGTTCCAGACCACCACAGTGAAGTGAACAGCACAGTGGGCCACACGAATTTTTTGGTTTCCCAGTGCATATAAAAGTTATGTTTATACTATCCTTTAGTCTGTTAAGTATACAATAGCATTATGTCTAAATGACAACAACAAAAAGCCCAGGTACCTACCTTAATGTAAAATGTTTCACTGATGAGAAAACTCTAGTGAATCCTAATCTGTTTACTGGTGGAGGGTCTTGCCTGTATGTTGATCCAACCGTAGTATCTCTGAAGTACAATGAGGTGTTCCTGTAGATGAATTTGGGGGAGCCCATAATGTCGTCCATTCTCTCTTCCATAGGCTTTATAACCCCCTGATTTGTCCCAAACAATGGGGGCTCGACTCAGCAAAGCCACAATCCAGCCTGGGCACCTCCAATCCTGTCCCCACCCCTAGGAACTCCAGCAACTGTTCACTGCCCCCCAAACCCCAAGCTGTTGCAAATTGGTATGCGCATCTGTATTATGAGAAAATTCATGTCTGCACCAGAGCCCGGAAAGCAGAACACAGCCTGGCTCTCTGTGTCCCCTCTGCCTGAGGGTCCCGCGAGTGCTGCTGCTGGGAGATCTCATCCTCCACCTCCAAGCCCCAGCCAGACAGGTGTCCCCTGGGGAGGGTGTGTCTCTGCTGGCAGCATGCCTGCCTCCAGCCCTGCTCCTCCTCCCCTTGGACATTTGCAGACACCCCTTCCCTCCCCAGGGAATCCAGAAGGCCTCCTGTCTGCGCCCTCCCGAGTATGAAATTGGGGGTTGGGAAGGTGGAGGATGGATAAGGAGGATGCTGGCAGGCAGATGCTTCGTTCATTTGCCAATGATTCATGCGGTCGGGACACCTACGTGTACACAGACATGTATAAATATATGTAGTCCATTTCTGTCGCGCTGCGAAATATGAGTTATTGTAACAAATGCACGAAACTCCCCGCTGGAAGGGCCTTTCCAGAGACAACTTCCTGCGTGGAGCGGCTGTCAGTGAAGAAGCTTGGCTCCCACAGGCCGTAGACACGTAGGCTTCTCGCTGTTTCCTGCTCTGTCCACTCGTGTGTGTGCAGCGAAGGGGAGGGCTCCTGGCCCGGCTGGGTGGCCCTGAGAAGTGTGGTGGTGGCTGGAGGGCTGGAGGTCTAGGTGAGGAGGTCACGGGGAGCGGAGCTGAGTGGGGGTGTTGCGCCCCCTCTCTCACAGGGAGCAGAGGGGTGGAGGGGCAAGTGTGAGGAGAAGGTGTCAGTGGACACTTGAATGTTCTTGCAGACCCACTAACTCCCACCCGGGACTGGCCAGGTAATAGGACACCCATGTTGCTGAGTGTCCTTTCTGTCCCCGCCCTACCACCAGCCAAAACACTTTCCCCGAGTGCTCAGTGCTGTGCAAGCTGCTATTGCCCAAGCTCCTACGAACAAAGCAGGGCCCCCAGCAGTAACCCAGCTGGGGGAAGGTTGAAGTGTCGCCTCAGGGGTCACCCTTAGGTTATAGTTGTCTGTCCTGGCCCCATCTGGCCACATGCATTCCGGCGGGAACACTCAGCAAAGACCACGCTCCTGGCTTCTTCTCCGCTGGTGCCCTCGAAGGGCTCGGGGGCTCGGCTCCCATTGTCCCCTTTCCCGTGCTCTCGTTGGGATGAAACCCGTCCACCTTCCCTTGGGAACTGGAGAGCCTCCAGCAGGGCCAGACCAGGGTGCCCCGTCCTGGTACTCAGGGCACACCGTCGAAGGAGGTGCTGGCTCTCGGGTTCGAGCAGCTGCAGCCGTGGCTTTTGCATGAACCGTAAGCGTCACACATGCACCACGATCCCCACCCCTCCCTCCTGCTCTAAACCCAGGGGAGCAGCCTCTGTGCACCCTGCTCGTCAGTTACAGCGGGCGGGCGAGTGCCAAGGTGGCCCCGAGGCAGAGATCCTGGGACTCCACCCGAGCAGCCACAGAGGCCGTTCCCTAAGGAAAGAACAGGGGGAGGATTAGGATCGCCACGATGTTCGGGTGGAAGGTGGGGTGCCCCCTGGCAACAGAAAGCCTGGCTGCACGCCTGAAACACATAATGCTGAACGTCGACTGGCATTGAAAAACAAAATACGAAGAGAAAAAGAAACCTTCTCTCCACTGACGCTGGAAATGTGTTTTCCTTGTGTTGAAATCCTGCACCCCCTGAATGAAGGACAGAGGCGAACCTGTGACGATCGCTATACCTCTGACTTTTTAAAAAATTCTGTCTTTTCCTTCTGTCCCTGACGGAATCCGGAGCAGTGACCTGGTGTGTGTTCCCTCTTTGTTCCACTAGGTGGCTCTTTGGGCTCTCAGATGTCTGCCAGGCGTGCAGACAGGTGAATGCATCTCATTGGCTTACGGGAGGCATGATGCCACCGGGCAGCCCTTTTTAAGAGAAAAGCCAGGACGGGTGGAACAGCGACCCCTGAGCAGTGCTCTTCTTGCGAGTGGCAGGACCAGAGCTGCAGTTAAGCATCATGAGTGAGGTGAGTGTTCCTTCTACTCGAAGGGGGAAACTTGGGTGTGTGTGTGTGGGTGGGGGGGAGCGGTGGGGAGAAGGGACTTCAGTTATCTCAGAAAATGTGGAAACCAGCCCCGTCACTGTGCTTTGAAGACCAACCCTGTGCATAGCTGGTTTTGCAGGGCAAGTGCAGAGACCGGTGAAGTCTGCAACTTTTTAAACATTTGCCTTAGAAAGAGAAAGGGACGCATTGTTGGCTTCCGCTGTAATGGTGACTTTGGGAAGTGCTTTGGGCTTTAGTCCCAGAGGAGGACGGCGATGGTTGGAGTCTCTCAGGAGAATCTGTGCTGCTTCCTGTGAGCGTTCGTTGTGGGGACTCCCTCGGAAAGCCAGCCGGCTCCGGGCCAGCAGCGGGGTCTGCAGGTGCTCGGACGGCCATGCAGCACCGGCAACGCGCCCGGGGACAGTCTGCGTGGCCAGCCGGTGGCTCCGAGCTGGGACAGTCGGGGCAGAACAGGACTGACCATTGTGAATTGAAAGTCACTTGCCTGAATATGTTTGTACAGACTCTGTTTGGCTGGGGGCACACTGATAGCTCGTTTTGTGTTTTCAAAGATCAGATTCTCTTTCTTTCTTTCCGATGGGGCAGATTTGGGTCAGGCAATACCTTCTTCTAATTCAGCTCCGCAACCAAGACAGTCCATGCTCATTTCCTTTGGGCTGGCACTTAAATAATTACTTTTTAAGATCTTTTATCTTCTCTGTCTTTTTTTCTTGACAGATGGGTGATCCTTTTTTTGGGGGAAGTCTAGAGTAAAATTAACAACTTCAGCAACGAAATGTCTCTTCACTGCTTTTGTCTGTCTGACGGGTGACTTTTGATGTAAACATGACAGGAAGAAAGAACAGGCAAAGGCTGATAAAATTTAGGGACGGGGCTTGGGATGGAGCCAAGGGCCGAGCAGGGCAGGGGGAGTGTGGGGAGGAGGACACGAGGCTGAGGCTCCTCCGGCAGCCACAGTGCTCACCGCAGCGGCCCCGCGCCCCGCAGACTCAGGCCAGCTGGGCATCCGGTGCTCCACTCGTTCACCTGGTTTCAGCCTCCCAACACTCTGTGAGCTAGTTGCTTATACTAGTCCCACTCGAAAGATGGGGAAACTGAGGCGCCAAAAAGTTCAAGGTCAACGCTTCAAAAGCACCAGCTGGTGAAGGGTAGCCAGGACGTGGGTTGCGGTGTTGGGCAGCCAACCGCCAGGTGGGTGCTGATGGCCAAGGGCACGAGGGATTCTCTGAACATCAGGTGCCAGGGAAGGAGAAGGCGGAGGCGGAGGAGGTGGGAGCTGAGGCAAAGGTGGGGGCTCTGAAGTAGACGCAGGGAAACGCCATCCAGGCCCCCGTCTCCAACACCCTTGGGTGGGGGCTGTCTGCTGGACTCTGTGGAGATTCCAGAAGCTTCTCTCTTTGTGTCGGCTCACCCTCCCCGCAACCAGAAGGGATGTGTGTGCTCCGTGTACGACTTAATGGGTTCGGTGGAGGAAGACTTGGAGCCGGGCATCGCCCTGGGGCTCCCTCTCTTTGATCAGGACAGCTGCCAGGAATTCTTCCCGGGTGTCGGCCTCCTGCCAGCTCTCCTCCCTGCTGGCTCGGTCACCCATCTGCTGGCATCTCCCTGCCCAGCGCCGCGCTCATGAGCCCTCCGGAGTGCCCCAGCTCTGAGGTGCTCACTTAACTGTGGGTCCCCTGGAGAGAACAGATGTCCCAGACCTTACCCCACGATGAGGGGCTCCACCTCGCTTCTCCCGGATGTGTGCCTAGGGCAGCCCTGTCCCCCGCGTGCCATCAGACAAGTTGGCAGGCGACCGCAAGAACTCTCTGCCTTTGTTCCTTTCGCGTTGATGAAATCCCACAATACGCAGCCTCCCTTTGCTGCCCAGTCCTCCCTCCTGCCCTCCTGGAACCGTCTCCCACCCTCTGGCCACCCGCCGAGTGACCAGCTCCCTGGCTGATCTCCCAGTTTCTGGGGTGTGTTGCTTGGGGGGGGGGGGTTGTCCTTTGACTAAAACTTAAATCTGCTTAAAACATTTAATAAAGTTGAACAGAAGCTCCTTTCTGGGGAAAGAACTGGATCAAGCTTTTCTTCGGTTGCATGAATTACACGTGGCTTCTAGTTTTAATAACTCTCAGGCAGGGATGGATTTCAGATGGTTCATTGCTTACTCGTGCACCTCACTACTGCAAAGGGTTCTGTCCGGCCTCCCCTGACTCAGGATTTGTTTGAGTCAGGGGGGCCGTAGTTTCTGCTCCGGCGGTCGGGGCTCAGCGCCCGGTGCAGATCCCTGAGCTCACAGCGCCCCCTTGGGCCGGTGGACAAGCCCAGCTGGGCCGAGAGACCCTCCAAGGGCCGCGTGTTCCCTGGGGAGGGCTCTGTCTCCTGGGTCTTCTAGCCTTTAAGGGGAAACTGAGCCTGGTGCTGGCTTTAAACTGAGTGACTTGACAACACAGTGTCTCTTCATCCCCCGCGACAGTGCTTTTTGGGGGGAATGACATGTGATTGAAAAGAGCAGCTCAGGTGTGGCAAGGAAAGTCAAGTCCAATGTGAGGGCGACGGGAGAGAGCGGAGGTGGCTTGTGGGGCGTCTCATGTGCATTTCGGTACTAAAGCGTGTTGGATGCACCTGGAGCCATCTCCAAGATGAGCCGGGAGGTAATTCCACAGGGATCACGGTGCGGCCCGAGGTGTACGAGCCGGATCAGAACCCCGGCCGCCAGGTGCACAGGGCATCCTCTTCCCCGCCAGGCTCCCAGCACGGGGGGGGGGGGGGGGGGGGAACGACCCCCTTTGTGCAGCCATCTAACACGATCTGAACAAAAGAGTCCCACAAACAATGACAACCAGTCTCATTTCCTTAGCCAGGTGTCTGTGTTTGAGCTGCTTTGCCAAAGAGGTTATGTAGGAGAGCCAGCATTTCCACGCATAAAGGGAGCCGTCTAGGGGCTTGATATCAAACCGCCGCCCTGTTTGTGAGGGGTGGGGGAGCTCCCAGTTGCATAATACATCAGTTGACAGCTATTAATTAGAGCCGAGACCCCTTTGGGAAAGCATCCTCCTAAGTCTTCAGTTTCGCTGTCACGGGTGCCGTTGTCTCATCGGCTCTGAGGGGATGTTGCGACTCACTGCCTGGGTTACAACCATCTATTTCTCCCATCCAGCCATTGGCCAGGAGAAAGGGACTTGTCTGTCAGAGGCGTGGTTTGAACACACCAAGGACATTTAAGGGCAACTCTTTAGACCCACAGGTCTGTCCTCAGCACAGAATCGGGAGCTGCGGCTCGTAGGAAATCTCCAAAGGAGCAGAAGGCAGTGAACACTGTTGTGCTGGACAGAGACCGCGAGGGGCGGCTCGCCCCGCTGCAGTCTGGGGTGGAAGCAGAGAAAAGCACGCTCCTCTCGTTAAACGTAGCCATCGGTTACAAAAGATCATGGGACACTGGCGTGGGGTGTACCCAGTTAGCCATCAGGGCCCCCTGCTGGGGAGACGCATAGTTAGATGACACAGACCTAACATGGGAAGGACCCAGCGGCGTGCCTCTCACGATGCCACAGTGAGCTCAACACACGCTTAGGGATGGACCATGAGGTTTGCGAGGAGCTGTGTATCTCAGACCAGTTATCACAAGTTCTGAGGGGGACTGCATAACACATGGATTTTGCAACTGGCCCCAAAGACCTAGCACCAGAAGGCCAAAGGACAGTTCAATGTCTCACGTAATTTTACCCTCATTTAGGGGTGTGACACGGTGAAGATACGGGAAGGTCCAGCAAGTCCCCGTGGTTTTGCTGCATCACACACTGCTAGGCTCGCTCTCTGCGCCACCTGGAGGGATTAGTCTGGAAAGACACCCATTACCACCCGCATCCAGAGTTCCCCTTTTCCTGAGAAGAGGTCACAGTTAAGCACACAGATGTGTTTTGGGGGCTGCCCTACGACCCGTTCCCCATCCGGCATGTCATTAAGGAATGCTGTGGGACTAAGCAGTCTCCCCGTTTTTCTTTTTTGAATTCTAAGAATGACGGAGTGCAAGATGTATTATTATTTTTTTCCGGAAAGATTGAATAAATGAGTCACAGTTGATTTTATTAAAGGTTTAGTGGAATAGCGTGATAGGAATGACAAGGGAACAGGGGCTTTTGTGATGGAAAGCGCCTTGAATTGATGATGAACACGTTCTCCGCATTATTTTTTAGAATTCTAATTTCTGCCCTCAGCCTTCATTCTGTCCTGGGTGGAAGGCATTCACAGTCGGTCCGTGGCTCTGTTCTCCGTCCACTGGGCACACTGCACGCTTTGAACACATGAATATTATCATGAGCCCAAGCCTGGGGCTTTTTCATTAATTTAGAATGGCTTTCAGGAAAGGGCTTCCTACGGGGGGAAAAGAAGGATGTTAGGAGATGCATGTGCACAGGTTTATACTCTATTTGACTGATATTTTAATAAAACACAGCATTAAAGATCATGCTATTCAAGTGTCGCCTTAGTATGTTCAGGCGACTGTAACAAAATACCACAGCTGGGTGGTTTGCAAACAGCAGAAATGTATCGTCACGGTTCTGGAGGCTGAAAGTCCCCGTCAAGTTGCACCATGGTCAAGTGAGGGCTCTCTTCTGGGTCACAGACCTCTCTCTGTGTCCTCACTTGGCGGAAGGATGCTCTCTGGGGTCTGCTGTATAAGGGCACCGATCCCATGCATGAGGGCCCCACCCTCACCACCTGCTCAGCTCCCAAAGCCTCACTCCTAACGCCATCACTTTGGGTGTTAGGGTTTCAGCACAGGAATTCCGGAGAAGTACGCCCATCCAGTCCACAGCAAGTATCATAGGTGGCATTTTGTTTATTAGAATTATCCTGCCTGGACGGTGAACTTCCTGAGGACAGGGTCAACGTTATGTCGCCCACAAGGCCTGGCCCCCGGGTTGGCACTGGGTGGTGTTCAGTGACTGGATGAATACATGGATTTCGGGGTG